TTCTTAGTCGTCAGCTTGGTCTTGGAAGCTGATTCGTGATTCAACTTGAAGGACACTGTTTGAAAGATGCGTTGCACAGGGCTGTATTGTGTTGCTTGGCCGCTTCCCAGAACAAATTCAGCCCGGGCTTGAAGCGGCAATCGATCGTGGAAGACAGCCATGCCGCTGGCAACTCAATGCTTGGCTAGTAATGTATTTAGGGGCCAAGACAGCGACGGCGCCGGTCTCCTGGAACTTGTCTTGCTGCAAGTCCCTCGCTGTGGCCAAGATGAAGGCGTGATGGTCCTCCTCCGGACTGATCCTCTTCATTTGCCCATTTTTCTGGTCCATAAACAAGTCATCCACTGCCACCACCAAATTTATAGGCTGGGGCTTCTTGTACGTGGTGTGCATGATCCACTTTACGCTGCTCTTGTACACTGGCACACTTGCAGTCGAAGACCATGACCAGCTAACCCACGCTACATTGCCGCCTGCAATGTACTGGTCAGTAGTGGAATCTCCCTCCTTCAAGGCCTCCATCATGGACTGCAACTTGCGATTGTCGAAGGGGTCTTGACGACCGCCCTCCTCGATCGTTAAGGGCTTCATTGACTCAAGGTCCCTGAAAAGATCCGTCCTGAGCAGCAGCGCAGTACTGACTGATGGCATCTCTATTACTGAGGCCCGCGCCCCACAATGAGTTCCCAAGCCTTCCTCGCGTCATCGTAGTGGGAAGCGCTTATGTTCCGGCATTGCACCGGGGTTGAGCTTGCCGAGGATGTTGATTGAACCATAGCAGTCTGCACCTCGCTGCGGTTACGCAGCTGGCGCCCGGGGCCTCAAATAAAAAACACCGCGGATGATCCTTAATCTGAAAACTGCGGATGAGCCTTAATCTGAAAGCACGGGCCACGCTCTGTGAAAAGTCGAATTTGATCCGCGTCAGCAACGCTTCCGTTTTTGTTTACCCCAGTCAATTGTGCCTCACTGTAGATTCACACGCTCCTTGCAGTCGCGGAGCACCAGCCCAAAGCAGGACCATCGTCCCAGCAAATTAAACAGGTGTCTTAATATCTGTGGCTCCACAGTTACTAGGCCTAGCGGATCAACCTAGCTGCCGTGAGCACCGCCCTCATTGCTTTACAGGAACCGACATGGCGTTGCCCACCATTTTGCCTCTCTTGGCGCGGGACACACTTTTGGGCCAGCGGAAGTTGTGGAATCCCTGCAAAGCCGCCAGCTCCTTGAGGCTGAGAAAGCGACTTTCCTTAGCACAGGCTGTAAGCGGGCTGGGGCTGCGGGCTGCGCAACTCGCCACACTTGATTATTTGCACTCGCTAAATCTGGTTTGGACAAGAATCGTTGTCGAGCCAGAAGTTGTCGCCGGAGGCTCGTGCACATGTGATTGTGGGAACATAGCCCGAGGTGACCTGCCGGAAGTTTTTCCCGGCTCCTGCGTCGATGATGTCCCTGTCCAGATTCCAAACACCCTTCGCCTTGAGCTTCTTCCTTCCTGCAAAAATGTTGTTCCGCTTGGTTTTGCAAAGCTTCTTGATGTCCACCTTGGGAAGCCCCTTCTCCAAGAAGTCGTCCAGGCAAGCGAACTTGCTTTCAGGCAGCGAGTGGACCATATTTGGTTTTCTGGTTTTCACACCCTTGCGCGTGGACCTCCTAGCGCCCATGATGTAGATCCTCCTCTTCCGGTTCTGCGGAAGCCCGAAACTGCGGCTGTTCACCATTCGCCAGCTCACAGCATAGGCCCGCTTCTGCGACCCAGGAAGCCGACATTCCTTGAGCTGCTGCAGAAGTTTGTTGAAGTGCTTCCTGTGCTTCTTATTCCGGATGCCCGTCGCATTCTCCAGCACAAATCCACGCGGTTGCATGCGGCAGATGTAGTCCACCACAGCCTTTGATAAATCACGTTGGTCGCATTTCCCCTGCCCGACGCCCGCCGTACCTCGGAAGGAGCAGACTAAGCAAAGACCTATGTGCAAAAAAACAGAAAGTACCCGGACCCGAACCCGAACCCGAACCCGAACCCGAACCTCCCCCCCCCAAGCGGCCTGGCCCAGAGCCCAAACCCAAAAAGAAGCCCGACCGAACCCGAACCCGAACCCGAACACGAACCCGAACCCCCCCCCCCCCCCCCAAGCGGCCTGGCCCAGAGCCCGAACCCGAACCCGAACCCGAACCCGAACCCGAACCCGAACCCGAACCCGAACCCCCCCGCCCCACCAAGAACCCGGCCCCGAACCCGAACCCGAACCCCCCCCCCCAACAAAAAAGAAGCCCAGCCCGCACCCGAACCCGAACCCGAGCCCGAACCTCGCCCCCCCCCCCCAGCGGCCCGACCCAGAGCCCGAACCCGAACCCCCTCCCCCCCCCCCCCGCAAAAAAGAAACCCAATCCCGAACCCGAACCCGAACCCGAACCCGACCCTTCCCCCCGCTTCCCCAAGCCGCCCGGCCCAGAGCCCGAACTCGAACCCGAACCCGAACCCGAACCCGACCCGAACCCAAAGCCCTCCCCCCTCCCATAAAAAAAGAAAGCCCGACCCAACACAAACCGAACCCGAGACCCCGAACCCGAACCCGAACCCGAACCCGAACCCGAAAACAAAACCCAAACCCGAACCTTCCCCCCCCCCCCCCACCCCCCGGCCCGACCCCGAGCCCCGAGCCCAACCCGAGCCCGAACCCGAAACCCGAACCCAAACCCGAACCCAACCCGAACCCCCCCACCACGAACACCCGAACCCAACCCCCACCCCCCCCCAACAATAAAGAAGCCCAGCGGACCCGACCCGAACCCGAACCGAAACCCGAACCCGCCCGCCGCCCAAGCTCCTGACCCAGAGCCCAGAAGCCCGAACCCGAACCCTAAACCCGAACCCAACAACAAACCCAAACCCAAAATCCGAACCCCCCCCCCCCCAAGCGGCCTGGCCCAGCGCCCAAAACCCTAACCCGAACCCGAACCTAACCCGAAACCCCCCCAACCCCCCCCCCCCCCTAAAAAAGAAGCCCGACCGAACCCGAACCCGAACCCGAACCCGAACCCGAACCCGAACCCGAACCTCCCCCCGCCCCCAAGCGGCCTGGCCAAGAGCCCGAACCCGAGCCCGAACGCGAACCCGAACCCGAACCCAAACCCGAACCCGAACCTCCCCCCCCCCAAGCGGCCTGGCTCAGAGCCCGAACCCGAACCCGAACCTGAACCCGAACCCGAACCCGAACCCGAACCCGAACCCGAACCCCCCCCCCCACCAACAACCCGGCCCCGAACTCGAACCCGAACCCCCCCCCCCAACAAAAAAGAAGCCCGACCGAACCCGAACCCGAACCCGAACCCGAACCCGAACCCGAACCTCCCCCCCCCCAGCGGCCCGACCCAGAGCCCGAACCCGAACCTTCCCCCCCGCAAAAAAGAAGCCCAATCCCAAACCCGAACCCGAACCCGACCCTTCCCCCCCCTTCCCCAAGCGGCCCGGCCCAGAGCCCGAACTCGAACCCGAACACCCCCAAACCCGAACCCGAACCCCCCCCCCCGGGGCGGAGGTTAGGTTAGGGGTTGGCTGGGGTACACTCTGTTGAATTAAAATGAAACTTTGCTCCGGTTGAAGCTGCTTATGCGTTGTCTGCATACCAGTCATGAGCAATTTGTTCCTGGTCGTTGTTTTGTTCCATATCGCATTGCGGTGAAGCACAAACCACAGTTAGCGCCGGGTATTGAGCTCGCGATGGTTAAACATGACGGTGGTGTGCTTCGCGCTCCGGTGCATGTGGTATGAGAACTTGCACAATCGTCGCGTTGCACAGTGTTGACTTGGCTCGGCCTATTGTGCTGATGGCATGTTCCGAACCGCGTAACTGGTTCACTGCCCTTGCCCGACATAACGGGCCGCAGACCTTGGTCGATGACTTACGAGAATCGCCAGACATGTGCTTACTAAACCTTCCGATTTGTTGTTCTTCGCCGGCCTTGCACGGGGGGATCATCATGGGCACGCCTCAACAAGACTCGTGGAATTGACACCGCAGAGAAAATCGAGGCCAAACAGAAGGAATTTTGGAAATTGTTTGAACGGTTCGTTGAAATCAAACGGCATGCCGTGACGAAACGCGCTGCGATTTTGTTTGAGTTGCCTGGAAGTTGCGATTATTGGAAGGATGAGAGACTGCATGAGGTTGTTCATGATGAGTGCTCTCAACGAAGTTGATAGCTTTGTCTTTTTAAGGGTAATAGCAGTCTCCCTTCCTGTATAAAGGGAACATGCGCTTGAGCCATTGAAACCTTTCGGTCACTCTGATTTTCCGTCAGCTCTGTTTATGTTCAAATTTTTTATAACAGACGTGTCGACAGTCTCATGCTCGAACATCTTTCTAATCATCCCTCTTTCCTCAGCCGTAGCACCTCAAGTGCTACAATGGGTGTGGAGGGCGGGTTAAAAAACCCTTCGTGGCGTCTGAGCTATGGAGTTTGGCGTCACGGGGGGCATACGAAAGCGATGGATGGAGCGCCGTCAACCCCAAGATGGGGCGCAGGATGCGGGCGGCAGTGCAGATGTTGGAATCTTTGAACCACCTGTTGAGTCCATACTCTCCGACAATTCCGAGTCGGCTGTGTCCGAGGAGCGGCCTCCAGCATCAGGTGGAATCAGTCAATTCGATGACAACCCCGCACCTTCTCGGGTTGCTCAACCTGCTTTTCAGGCTAAGAACCCTGCTGACAAACCTTCAGACTTGTCAGTGACTATGAATCGCTTGGTTGAATCAACGGTCACGTCCATGGCATTTGACAGTGCAGGAAGATTTTCAATGCCTTGGGACAGTGCATCGCTTGGTTCAATTTTCAAGCGGAGTTTACCCACAGATTTTCTGGACGACTCTTTGCGGCATTTGTTGCGTGGAACACGTGTTGGCATGGCGGACACGCTTTCCCACACATCAACCGTCCCAGTGCCTATTTTTCAACAGCAGTCGTCGTCATCATCTTATGCCAACAAGCGGTTGAAGTACATGAGCTTGGTGTCCTCAGAAGATGACTTGCGCAGCAAAGCTTTGTCACGTTTCCGAACGATGGTCCTCATGGACCCTAATGCCACAAGGCTGGGCAGGACGCTGGTCAATTTTGCAGGCTCCCTGGAACCAGCTGAGGTAATTACGCAGATCTTTTCGGATGTATTTGCCCCAAAGAGTACAGGCACCCTCATGAAGAGGTCCCACTCTCTTTGGACCTTCTGCAAGTTTCTACGCTCGAAGCAACAGGGCAATCCTTTTTCTCAGCGAGAAGCGACTATCTATCAGTTCCTGTGCTTCATGAGGAGCTCAAATTTCGGGGCCACTGCCCCCAGTCATTTCTTGGAGGCGATGCGATTTGCAGATGCTATGCTTGGTTTCGTGCAGCCCTTAGAAATCACTCCCAGGATCAAGGGGGCGGCGCATGCACAATATGTTACAAAACGCAGACGCAAACCTGCCAGAGTACTCACGCTGGACATGGTGAAGGAGTTGGAACGCATCTGCATCCACGGCGATCTTCTTAGAAACCGTGTCCTTGCCGGCAGCATGTTGTTTTGCATCTTTGCAGGGTCCAGATGGCATGACTCCCTGTTCGTTGCAACAATGCAGGTTGCCAAGCATGCAGACATTGTGTTGCTGGAGGCCGACACATCCAGGCACAAGACTTCCTTGACCAAGGAACTACAGGCTGAGCTGCTGCCCTTCACGGCCGTGGCAACTGCCTTTGATGATGCTTCCTGGGGTGAGTCTTTTGCAACTGCTCGTCAGGACGCAGGTTTTCAGTCAGCTCCTTTCTTTACAATGTCTTGGTCAGATGTTCATTCAACATGGTCTGGCAGCAGGATGAGTACAGGTGAAGCGACATGTTGGCTCAGGGAATTGCTACAACCGGCTTTCGGACGGACAGAGGTGGAGAGCCTCACGATACATGGATGCAAGGCTACTCTGCTTAGCTGGTGTGCGAAATCCCTGATGTTCACGCCTGACGAACAATCCCTTTTGGGACATCACGTCCCGGGGCAACACAAGTCCGCTCTCCTGTATTCACGTGACACTCAAATTGCCTTGTGCGCCAAGATTCATGTCATGTTGCAAAGGATGAGGAACAACTCCTTCAATCCGGACAAGCCCCGAGCTGAGAGGCTGTTTGAGCTTGTTGGCCATGCTGCCTCGGAAGTTGAGAAGCCAAGTGAGACGTCTCAGCGAAGTGAAACTAGTAGCTCTAGTTCTTCCGACTGCGATATTTCAGATTCGGTTTCAGACGACTCGGCAGATGTCAAAGAAAACCTTGACCGTTCTCTCCCCGAAGGGTGTGAGGGCGAAAACCTTTGGGTCCACAAGTTTTCGAGCGTGGTGCACCATGTCAAACATGATGACGACACGCGTTTGATGTGTGGAAGGTCAATATCCTGTAATTTCAGGAAAGCGAAGCATCAGGACATCTCAGATGCTCCCATGGTCTGTCGCAATGTGCTCCTCATCTCTGAAGGCTCTCGAATAGCGAACTCAGATACGGGAAGCAAAAACGGCCGCACTTGCTCTTGTTTTTAGGCTTCCCAGGCCTTGTGCGGCCATTTTTGTTTTGGCCACGCATGCAAGATTTCAAGCCACGAGGCCTGGGCCATCATACGTTCACCGCTTTCAGATGCGATGTGTGCACATGCAGAGCCAATTATTGTGTCGCTTGTCACCATGCAAGATGGATATCCCAACCGCTGGCTCAGCCAGTATGACAATTGGGCAATCGAATCCATCTCCCCAGGCATGGACTCTCAGACAGTGGCAGCAAATCTAAGCTCTAGCATTCTTGTGCACGTTTCACGTAGGTTGGAGTGAACTTCTCATCTCACACACAATTCTGAGGCAGGAGCGCATTCCTTGTTTTGTGCCTTTTTGCCATGGCACTGGACTCCAAGGCGTCCTTTCAGCTGAGAGCCAAAGAAATTGGTATATCGGAGGAGCACATCACGGCCTTGGAGGGTAATGGTATTAGTACTTTTGCTGCATACGCGTATTGCACAACATTCCAGCCAGGGCAGGCGGATGACCGGCCATTGCTGACGTTTGTGGAACAGGTCATTGGTGTCGCTCCTACCGCCGGGGAAGCAGCCGCGTTTCGCCGGCTGTTTTTCGAGTCGCACGCGTTGAGCATTCAGGATCTCAAGTCGAGGTTGGAGCGATCCGAGAGCTCAGAAGCTCGGACAGTCCCACTTCCGGAAAAGATGGAACGCATCAGACAGCTGAAAACCCGTCTCACTGGAGTTTCTTTCACGCCGCAAGTGGAGCCTTCACATGCGTTGATCGACAAAGCGTGCCAGCAGTTTGATGATGGATGCGTGTCCTACATACCCCTGCACAAGTGCACCAGCAGGCAGGACGAGACGCTCCATAGCAAACAAGTTGATGGCCTTCACATGCAGTCAGATGGTACAGTCAGATTGTCCAAGAGGTCCAGGACGGACGACGTTAGCCTTCATGGTGAGCACAACATCAGACAAGCGTTCGCTAGAAGGTCTATGGCCTATGAAATTGCCAACGTGGCCAGCTTCACCACTTTGGATCGTTGGACACAACGCCTCATGGAAAAGATGAACGAACCGGCGCTGCCAGGTTACAAGCCAATATCCTTTGACCAGGTGCTCAACGCGGATAGGGCCTTATGGGTCAAAGTGGCAGATGCGACACGGTCTAACCTGGTTGGAGACCCGCTTGCGACCAAGCCCTTTGATGCAGCTTTTGAGCGGCTTTCAGATCACCCGGAGATTTTGTGCTACATCGCCCCGATGCCTGGATCCTTTCAGAGGCCACAGCACGACAGCTCCACCAGCGTACAGAAGGGCACGGGGAAATCAATAGAATCTGGGAAGCCAAAAGGCAAGGGCAAAGGCAAAATCGAAGTTCCTCCAGGTTGTTCAATCTTCTTGGATGACGGCAAACAGTTGTGCAAGCAATATCAGGTGGGACGCTGCAAAGCAAAGATTAAGCCGGGGAAGCGTTGTATGTACGGCTACCATCTTTGCTGGAAGACAAGCTGCCGCAAGCCTCACCCAGGCAATGAGTGCGGTAGCAACTGACTAAACATGGGTCAGAATGTTTCTACTTCTCTCACAACAAACGTTGTGGAAGCTTTTTGCGGATCGGCTGGGTTGTCCAGAGCCTTAAGGGCTTGTGGATTTGCAGTTTATCCCGTGGACTTTGACAAGAACCGGCATGCGTCCAAGGTGCATGTCATCGACTTAGATCTCACTGTTCAACCGTGTGTGGACGTCTTCAAACAAATGCTTTCAGATTTGCAGCCTTCCTACATTCACATGGGGCTCCCCTGTGGCACTTGCTCCAGGGCTAGGGAAAAGCCGTTGCCCAAACACTGCAAGAATGCCAGGGGGCCAACCCCGCTTCGTGATGCAGACAACCTGCTTGGGCGACCGGGCCTTTCTGCCAATGATCAAGCAAAAGTTCAAAGTGCTAATCAGCTCTACCATTTGGCTATTTGGGTGCTCCGATGGTGCATGTCGAGTGGATGCATGGTCTCCATTGAAAACCCCCATCGCAGTTGGCTATGGCCGTTGCTCGCTTTGCTCGTGCGCAGGTGCGATGACGTCGAGTTCTCGTTTTTCTTCAACTCGTTGGATGCTGTTGTCTTTGACTCTTGCATGCATGGTGGAAGGCGTGACAAGCGTACGAAGTGGTTGTCAACGGCAGGTGTCTTTTCTTCTCTTGCCCAGGACTGCGATAAATCACATGCACATGCAAGCTGGCAGCCTTACATGTCCGAGGAGGGGATTATTTTTCCCACGAAGGAGGAAGCTGCCTACCCTGACACACTCTGTACCAGGGCCGCGGAGTGTGTGGCCTTAAAGGCCCAGCAGTGGAAGCTCAATTTGGACGTGCCCGTGAAGCTTAAACAATTGCTACGCTGGAGCCTGGGCGAGCAGAATTTTCGCCATCGGCCGCTCGTGCCAGAGTTTTCTTCTTTTCTGCACTCCACTGAACAGCTGTTTCGCGATGATTTGCGATTGCTGGCTTCACCTCACAACAGGGGGCCTCAACTTGAAGCCAACATGGAGGCGCCAGGCCAACCTGCTGGCTCCATTGAAACTACCGAATTTGATCAGCCTTGCAAAAGGATACGCGCTACGTACAAGTATGGCGTATGGCACAACCCAGATTCTTTTCTGGAAAAGGCCGAGAACGTCGAGCGCCCTGCAAATTCTAAGTCCATGCTGAATGAGGCGACGATTGAAGCCATCTCAACAGAAGTCACCATGGACCCCGTCGAGTTGGCCAAACTTAGGCTAAGGGCCATCCTCAGGATCAGGGAGCTTGAAAAGGACTTTCGACTGCGGGAGCATGAGCTAAAGTCGACCATGGAGCTGGAGGTTGCTCGAAGAATGGCACGTAAACCTCTCCTGCTTTTCAGGTATTTGCTTGAACAGACGGGCTTTTCAGACATGGGAGTTTTGGACCTTCTGACCCAGGGGGTGCCGCTGGTTGGAAGGTCGGACCAACCGCACGGACAGCTACCCCATGTTGTTCCTGCGCTGCTCACAGAGGAAGAGTTGGGCTCCTTGGCTCTCTGGAAAAGGAAATCTCTTATTGCGTCAAGGAAAAGCCCATCGGCCGAGGAGCTTGCTGACCTTGAGAGATTGGCCGATGAAGAAGTTGCTGCGGGGTTTCTGGATGGACCCTATGATGAGAGGGCAATGGATGGCGTCATGGGTGGACACAGATGGCTGCTCAACCCCAGGTTTGTCCTGTATCAGGGGTCGTCGAGGAAGCCTCGCGTTATAGACGACGCCAAGGTGAGTTCCTTAAACCTGGCATACACGTCTACGGTGAAACTCCAGCTGCAGGACACCGATTATATCGCTGCGATGTCCTATGAGCTTATGAATCGACTTGTTTCAAACCGTGCTCCCGTTTCGGAATCATGGCTTGGCAAGTGCTTCGATCTGTCAAAAGCTTATAAACAGGTCAGCGTGTTACCTTCACACAGGCGATGGGCTGTTGTCGGCTTCCCTGGCCACGATGGCTGGCGTTTTTACAGGAGCTTGTCCCTCCCTTTCGGTGACTGGCTCAGTGTATGGCTTTGTGCGAATATCAGCTGCAATCTGGTGGGTTATCACCAAGACCCTCAAGGCCGTCGTTTCCCACTATTTTGACGACTTCCCAACGATTAGCTCAGCTGCGGGATCACAGGTCCTGGACAAGTCCATCATGGCCCTACTGGACATCCTGGGTTGGGAGTTTGCAGCCAATGGAGACAAAGCTATGCCTTTCTGATGTTTCGACGCGCTCGGTGCCAGATACGTCCTCACCCGCATTGGACAGGGAACTCTGGAGTTGGGCAACAAAGCAGGCAGAGTCGAGAAGCTGTGCTCTTTGCTTGATGTCGTTGCCTCGGAGCGGAAACTGTCGAACCAGCAGGCCTCAGAGTTGCAGGGGCTCCTAAACTTTGCCTCGGGCTTCTACCTCACCAAGGTCCTGAAACCTTTTGTATCTGAGTTTGCTCGCGTTGCAAAGGGTACCTCTGGTGACCATGAGTTGCTGAGACTTTGCAATTTCGTCAAGGTTTTGCTTCGGGACCTCCCTCCGAGGTCTTACACGAGGTCTAAGCATGACAGTCCGGTCCTTGTCTTTACCGACGCTGCTTTTGAGAATGGAGTTGGGTCGGCAGGATACATTCTTGTAGATCGCATGACTGCTACAAGGAGCTGCGGTGAAATCCACATTCCTCAAACGTTGATGAACCATTGGTTAGAGCTTGCCGGTTCTCAAATTATTTCACAGCTTGAGTTGTACGCCTTGCTGGCTATTCGGTATCATCACCGCAAGCTATGGGTGGACAGACAACTTATTTGCTGGATTGATAATGAGGCTGCGCGGGCATGCGCCATTAAAGCTTCATCCCCGGCTCCGACGATGAGGGCCCTGACACGTGTCCTTCACATGCTTTGTCTGTGGCACCCCACTCAGACTTGGTACGAACGAGTTTGCAGTTTTTCAAATCCCAGTGATGAGCCGTCGAGAGGCCATGCTTTGGAGGCAGCGCGTAGACTGGGCATGAAGCGCGACCCTATGCTTGTCACAGAAGAGAGTCTCACTTCGTGGATCATCTCGATGAATAACGATCCATATGACCTCGCTCACCTAGATCGGGGGAAATAACCTGAGCTCGAACAAAGCCAGGGCACACGCTTACCAGCTCACGAGAAAGCGGTAACATGCGCCTGCTAACTCCAAAGCGGCGTATTCTTTGTGATCGTTTCCCCCGACATGACACTGCAGAGCAAAAGAGGTGCGCCTGAGTGATTGAACTCTTTCGCCTTTCAGAGCTTCGCTCCGAATATGCTGACCTTTTGTTAGGTGGCGTCCATCTTTGGCTCAAGTTACCCGTTTAAGACGAGTGCTCTCAACGAAGTTGATAGCTTTGTCTTTTTAAGGGTAATAGCAGTCTCCCTTCCTGTATAAAGGGAACATGCGCTTGAGCCATTGAAACCTTTCGGTCACTCTGATTTTCCGTCAGCTCTTTTTATGTTCAAATTTTTATAACAGACGTGTCGACAGTCTCATGCTCGAACATCTTTCTAATCATCCCTCTTTCCTCAGCCGTAGCACCTCAAGTGCTACAATGGGTGTGGAGGGCGGGTTAAAAAACCCTTCGTGGCGTCTGAGCTATGGAGTTTGGCCCGCCCAAGTAAGATCCCAACCCTGAGGGGGGGAAATAACCTGAGCTCGAACAAAGCCAGGGCACACGCTTACCAGCTCACGAGAAAGCGGTAACATGCGCCTGCTAACTCCAAAGCGGCGTATTCTTTGTGATCGTTTCCCCCGACATGACACTGCAGAGCAAAAGAGGTGCGCCTGAGTGATTGAACTCTTTCGCCTTTCAGAGCTTCGCTCCGAATATGCTGACCTTTTGTTAGGTGGCGTCCATCTTTGGCTCAAGTTACCCGTTTAAGACGGCATTAGTCATGAGTTTGATGGGTGTCGCTATGGCTTGAAGCAAAGGTATGCGAAGAAACCCATACCATGGAGAGTTGTTTCGTGGAACTTTGACCTTGGCAGCTCGTTGTCTAAGAAGTGTAATGGAAACCATGAACATGGACCTTGTGCCGGTCGGGAAACCAAGGAAACCCAGTTGTACACGTCGTTAATTGTGTGTGTGTGATCCTCCGTCGTTTTCGTGCTCGAGCAAAGTGCCTTCAGCCGGCACCATTGAAACTCGCTCTTGCTCGCATTACGCGAGGGAATTCGCGGAAGCATCAAGCTGCTGCGTGTGAGATTTGAAACAACCCGACTGTACCAACGAGGAGCTGGGCTAGTCCCGAACCTCAGGTTCCACCGAAGAACTGGGCTAGTCCCGAACCTCAAGTTTCGACGAGGAGTTGGGCCAGTCCCGCGCCTCAATTAAATTAGAAGGTGGGCACACATTGGGACTATTCTGTGGCTTTATTTGCAGCTGCCTATTTTGGGTTTTCCCGGTTCTGGAGAATATCATCAAGATGACTGCCAATGCGACCGTCGTCAATACAAATGAATTCTTCTGCGTGCCTGTTGGGAAATCCAGGCAAGCGGCAATATTCTTGGGGAACCTCGTGAAGAACGCCATCGAGGAGGGCAAAAGAATCCCCAAGAGAATGGAAATGGGCAGCGACCTGGGTACATGCATGAAGTGGATCGAGGACATCGGCGTTCCCGTCATCTACGCCTACTCAGCGTGCTACTCTGCCAAGTGCCGCGGAATGATGAAAGGAGAAGGGCAATCCGTGAGGGTTGCGTTGGAGTTTATCAGTACGATTTTCGGACAACTTTCTGCTGACAAATGCATGCTTGGTTGGAGGGAATTCTGCAGCAAAGGGACGAAGATTGTGGCGGCGCTGAACCAGCTTTGCGGCGAGGCATCGCTACTAGCAAAGAATCCTGAACTGCTCAATGTCACCAAGTATTGCATCGAGGGGGGAGATATGTTGAGATCCATTGCAGATATCTGGGATCTCGCATCAGGTGTGCCAAGACACTCCGGTCGGGGAAGTCTACAAAGAGTTCATCAGTGATGAACCAACCAGAACCTCGTCGTCGAGCTCCGAGGAGTTTCTGACAACTGCAGAAGTCGAAAGTTCGGAGATCGAAACTGGGGGAAGGTATTCACGTTGAGCGTGATCAAGGCTCCCAAAGTTGACTTCTACGGTCATGGCACAAGAGCCGACTACCAGAAGAATTGGGACCTTGGGCCGACCTACCAGAATGAGCTGCGCGCGTCGATGAAGAACCTGGCGTATGCAATGAGAAGAGATGAAAGAGCTCACCAGCACAACCTTTTGCGCTGGATGATCTGTGGGTCAACCCCCAGCGACATCTCTGACGCATGCATCGGGGCAATCAACTCACTCATGGGTTTCCTTCATCGCGAGGAGGTTGCAGCCATTGGTCGGGGGATCAGTCGTACACAGTTTATTTCCGTCAGTGAGGGACCTCTATCGGGAGATCGAGGTCGCCAGGAACTTGCTGTGGTGCATCGACATGATCTACAAATCAACGCTGCCTGCGATGAACATCAACTCCATCAGCTTGGCGCCACACGCGGCTGACAGGGCCGCTGAGAACCAAGATCGGCGCAAGTGGGTAAGCTGGCTGAAGGAGATTGAAAAGAAGGCGGAGAAGGAC